CTCCCCAGCTCCGGATGGGCCTCCTCTGATCTCTCCACTGGTACCAAGAGAGTGCCTTCCCTTCTAGACATAATCCTGCAGCCGATAATTTCTCCTCCTCCGTCAAATCGTTGACGGCGAAGTACCTATTTACTTTGTAGATCCATCCATATGCATCCTCCCCTTCAAAAATGGGCATTTTTAGTTTCCTTACTTTATGGTCGCCATTGTTTCCACGTATGCCTCCATAATTTCCCTTCTCCCAAGTGCTCGGTCTCCCCCACGTCTCATGATCCTCCTGTGCACTGCCATAACCCAATCCCCCTTCGATATCCCTTCTTCTCCCTTCAAAATCAACACTCTGATGGCCATAAAACCACTTATGGCGTTCCCAATCAGCCCCTCTTTTCTCTGCTCCCCCATAGCCATACCTTTCCCCATGTCGATCTCCTCTTTCCTCCCTATGGAAAGGCTCTACATAGAGCCTTCTTCTTCCCTCTTCCACAATTTTCACCTCTTCTTTCTCCTTATGGATTTCAGAATTGGTGTTCTTCGCTTCTAGGCCCTTCACTTTGGATGCCACCGTTTGTGCTTGAAGCTCCAGCATTCTTTTCATCATATCCTTGAGATCGGCCACCTGCCCCTCCATGGAAGAAATCCTTTCCTCCACGGTTTCTTTGATGTGATTTATCTCTCCTTCGAGTCTTTCCTCCAAAGCATCAACTTTCTTGGCCGTCATTACAATTCGAAGTTTCTAGATTCACAAAATCTGGATTTTGGAGTAAAAAAACATCAACTTCCTCTTTTTCCGGACAAAAAATTGATGCTGGAATTTGCCGAAAACAGTCCTCCACCGGTCCCAAGACTTGCTCTGATACCAATTTAATAGGAAATACTTGGGTTCGCGAGTAATCCTATCGGAAATACTTGAGTTCGCAAGCAACCATAACAATGAATTAGTAATACAGCGAGAAAGAACACAAGAATACTAATGAAATCAACTCAAAACAATAGATTTGATTATATAAGATAAAGCAAAGCAAACAAGATAAAATTGATCCTCTATTCGAGAGGAAGATCATTTTCTCCCAATCTCTAGACACCAAGTCTAGTGCCCAAGACACCCAAGAGACTCCAAGAGAACAATAATCAAGCATACCTACCTTATCCCCTTCATCCCCTTTAAATAGCCCTGTCCATCTCCTTAAAACTCCACCTCTTTAAAAACTTCATAATATAAGATATTATTTAATTAATACAAAAGATATTAAATCTTTTAATAAATTAAATCCACCTCCTTAAAAATTTCCTAATATAAGATATTATTTAATTAATACAAAAGATATCAAATATTTTAATTAATTAAATTCACTTCCCTAATATAAACTAATTTCAAAATTCCTTCCCCTCTCCTATTGCCGCCTCAAGGGGGGGAAGGGGCATAAGCTGGGGGGAAACACATCAAGGAGGCGGCTTAGCCCACCTCTTGTAGAACTGGACCGGCCCCTCCTGGGTCGGTTTGGTTGGTTTTATAACAGTAACAGAGAGCACAACAAAAAAAATAAAAGTCAAGCATGCAAAAATCAAAACTAACAAAATATACCTACGGCATAGATCAGAGCTTATTATCCCAACTACGCAGCTCGCTCTTTACCCTTTTTCGGGCCTAAAAATAAAAGCAAAAGCATGAATGAGCTAATATGGCTCAGTAGGCTATCATAACCTAAAACAAAAATCAATAATAAAAAAACCAAAAAACTGAGAACAATGTGCTGAATCATATACTGAAATTAAAAGTAATTAAATAATTACATAAATGAACTGAATTATAATCAAACACTTCATAACAGAATCCCATCTCGGTAGTCTATTGACTCCGGCATAACAACACTTAGGTAACAGAATCTAACCAACATAACAGAATCCCACCTCGGTCATCCACTGGCACCATTTTAACAAAATCCCACCTCGGCCACCCACTAACGTCGGTATAACAGAATTCCACCTCGACCGCCCATTGGTGCTGGCGCAACAGAATCCCACCTTGATCACCCACTGGCGCCGGCATAACAGAATCCCACCTTGGTCGCCCACTGAAGCCGGCGTAACATAATCCCACTTCAGCTGCCTATTGGCGCCGGTGTCACATCACAACACTTTACAATATATTTTTCAATGCATTTCATTAATTAAAGCATAATAAAATTGAATTAAAAATTTGTCAAAATGTCCCAACAGTAGATAACATAAATACAACTGAGTAAAAATTCATAATTTTCAAACATAACCAAATTATCACAAATTCTATAAAATATCATTCTGAAGCTTTAATTGAACTAAAACACTATTTTTAGATGTCAAAATAAATTTCTAAGTATATAAAAATCGCTGCTTTTCAAAATCATCTGGCAAAAAATTTCCATAATATGCTTAAAATGTTCGTAATCACTATGTCTATAACATACGCGGTGAAAGTTTTATCAATATGAAATTATAGTCGTTTTTCAATAATGAAAATACAAATTTGAGCGAAAAAATAATAAAAACACAAAATTACTGAAGTCTGAAATTAATGAGGACATCGTCAGAGATTTCGACACGTGTACCATCGGAGACACCGGAGATCGACGGCCATGATCAGGAGCTTATATTTTGAGTCATTTTATGTAGTAGTTAATTTTATTTTTCAGTTTTTACTGTTTTACCCTTATGGGTGGTCATTTGATATTGTAGCCCCGAGGGCGTTTATGTCTTTTAGTTTTTGTTTCATTTTGGCCTATTTATAGGAGGCCTCATGCATTGTATTAGAGAATGAATATTGATATGAAATTTCAACTTTGGCTTGGATCTCTTTGTGAGTTCTAGAATTCTCTTTGTGAGTTCTCGAGTGAGGATTAGCCTAAGAGAGGCTCAAAGCAATACCCAACAGCCCCTTGGTGGAGCTCTTGGTTTTCTACCTAATTTCTTCTTCTTTCCTCTCCTCTAGCCGTCGAATCTTCCCCCACCACCCCACCACCTGACCGGCCAGCAACCGCGTCCCCCCTCCCTTGCCGTTAGTTGTTGGTTTCCGCCCCTCCCTAAGCCGCCCCTCCATTAATCCCACCTCTACCATCGAAATCAGCCCCATATACATTGAACCTAGACCCTTTTCCTCAACCCCTATGGCCGGCCCCCCTTCTCTTCCCCCTTCTCTCTCCACTTTGCCACCTAAGCAACAATTAAATCCCTAAATCCCTCTCATAACCGCCGGCCCCCATTACTCCATTAATTGGGTTAATTTGAATTTCAAATTGGCCCCTTCCCTTTTATGAAAACGTGAAATTAAATTTCATATTTTCCCTCCAATCTCTTTGGCCTCCAATTTACTTGAGTCAACCCATAAACTCCTAATCCTAGCCGCCCCTCATCCTCCCAAGTTCCCCTCATCATCCTCCTCTCTTCCTCCTCACCAAACTCAAGAGAGATTCTTCCAACTTCCACCACCATCATGTATAGTCGATCCGGAAGTTGACCATGGTTTCTTATTTGATGATCAAGGACGAACCAACGCCTTTGAATCCCCGTTCTTCGACGTGAACCTTGACGTTGATTCTTCTGTCGATGACTACTTAAATCACATCTTGTTCACGCTAGTAACTTCCATCGAGGAGCATATTCTTCCCGGACGTTGGAAGCTCATTAGTCATCCTGTGAACTATCCGCCGCCGGATACTTCTTCAACGGACTAGACCTTGGGCACCAATTGTCTCTTAATGGCATTGCTCGGTTTGCTCTCAATCTTCCTCCATGAAAGCCCCACCATCAAGAGCGTAGTGAGGGACCCCAAGATGAAGAGTTCTATTTGTTAGACCGTGGATTATTGTTTTAACCATAACATTATCTTGTTTATTTTATGTTGTTCAATTGATAGCATCCAGTTAATCTAGTTGTAACTGCATGCCTTACATAATTTCTACTTCATAATTCGGAAAGCCTAACTTGGGTAAGCATTAATTCTATAACTAGCAAAGTTTTAATATTTTTATATTAAAATCTCCAAGCAGTTCTTGTTTCCATGCATATGTTTCACATCAGAAATAGGCAAAACATAACGTACCTCGAGACGATAAAATTTTTCAACTGGGCCAACGGATAAAAATCGCTCTACGGCTGTTAAAACCTAGCTTATCTTTTTTGCTTCCTCTCTTTTCTCTTATTTCTCCCAAAATGTTCTATGTTAAGCCGAATGAAATGAAAAAAGACATTTAAATAATTAAGTATATAGTGACTTTAGATATTTTTATAAAATAATAATATAATAATAATATTCTAATAAATTTTTAGTATAAAATTCATAGAAATTTTTTAGAGATTCCCAAAATTATAGAACATTGTCCATAAAATAACTTATTTTATTTAGAAAATTCAAATGAAGTCGGTTTGCAAAATGGACACTTGATAGTCCCAAAACCCCCGTTTGTACTGTTAGGTGTTAATTTTTTAAAAAATTTATTCAGTGCCCAAAAATTATGAAAAAATTAGAAAAATTAAAACACAACAAAAGAAATGTTATAGAGAAGATGATTTATGATTTTGACTTATAACGACTACAGAATAAATTTTGATTGTTGCAAGCAAAAAAGGAGTTTTTAAAAATTTGAGTTATAACATATTGGATAAAATGCACCTAAGAAACTACAATCCTAAAACCGGACCAATCACAAAAGCTACTCCTTGTATTATTCCTTGCCCTGACAAACCCTCCATAGCATCTTGAGAATTTCCTCATTCAAACTAAGATGTCTTATGTAATTCGTCCTACTGATGACTATGAGTTGCCCATGCTGTCCAGTAATTATGCTTGGCCACTCCAATTACTCGACTGATATAACCACCGCAGGCAACACCATGTGAAAGCCTCAATGCCCTACTACTAAGAGATTTCTAATGCAAGATAATGTCCAAGAAACTATGCAAAGAAAAGTTATCATACAATAACACAAGTAAGAGATCAGATTAAATGAGTTGAGATTTCTCCTCACCTCAAGTGTTGTCACAAAGAACTGAAAAAGAAACCACAATGCACCTCCTTCAAGACTCCTCCTTGCCGGTCATCACCACATCCTCTGGCTCACAATCTTGTCTCACTCTCCAGTATCAACAATTCCTTACAATAAATCTCCCCTCATATTTCGATCCATACGCAAGGTAGTTCCCTGATAATTGTTCATATCAAATTGTTAGAAGTCAGACACATCACCACAAACAATTTTCCACATGACAACATCCTAAGTATCACTTTTTTTTCATTACTAGGTGACAAGCTCTACTCAGCAAAACGAAGAAGCCAGAACTATAGCAATTACGTATTTGCTGACTTTCATTGGCCACCAAACTTGCAGATTCCAGCCCAAATCGAGTCTACAACGCTCTTTCCCAAGATCCCAAGGCTCAACCAAATGGAGCCTAGTGTTGATCCAACGGCCATAACCAGCCTTTGCTCAAGCCAAAAGTGCCAAGTTGTATAAGCACTCCAAGACTTCCTGGCCATCTCCTGCCTCCTGGATGTTCCTAGACAATTGGAAAACTCCTATAGGCTCTCCCCTAATGGCTTGAGAGCTCAAATAAACACCTAACCCTCAGCATTGCCTAAGGTAGGTTGAGATCACCATATGAGTGGATGATTCCAGTGCGTAGAGCTCCAGGTTTTATCCGAAAACATTCACCAGAGCTTCCTCGATCTTTTCACAGCCTCCATTCTACCTGCGGCGGCGTTTGGGCAAGTAAAGAGCGAAGTTCGACAAGTTCGTTCGGCGGTGTCGGTCTCCGGAGAAACTAAAGGAATATCAGACCAAAGCTCAATCATCAACTAGCTCTGTCATTGAAAAAAAAACCTACTGCATGTGGATTATCAACAAATTTGCCCTAGATAACATAAAAAATGTAAACTATAGCTGAAGTGCTCAACATCTCACCCTTTATGAAGTGAATGACCACGGAGATTATAACTGAATAGAAATCTTAGTTCTCCTCGAGCTCACGATCCTGCTGAAATCAATAACTCACAGCATCGCCTCTCCTCACGGGTGTAATCGTCGAAATCCCTTCGATGGAGACAGCGCACCGCGCGAGGAAGACGATGACGGAAAGCCCTCGGATTCTCGGATCTGGATCCGAGATCCGCTAAGCGCGTATAATTTATTGGGGTGTCAAAATTTATTTGGTTCGATGAACGTATATAGAGCTACGTTCGGCTGGCATTAAGATCGCAGGCACAAAATGAGAAATACCGAGTAAATATTGAGCAATACCAACAAAAATGAGAAATACCATTATGTGAAGATAAAATACCGAGTAATACCGACCAATACCGAGTAATCCCAAAAACTATCGAGTTTTTTGCTCGGTATTGCTAGGTATACTCGGTATTGATCTTCCAGATCGGTATTCCTCGTTATTACCAAAGAATACCTAACAATACCGACCAAATACCGAGCAAAAACCGAGTAACAATCCTCTGACCGAACGTAGAGCTACGTCTGGTCAGAGGACGTAATAAAAGTTCCGACACACCAATTCAAAATCCGAATCGAATTTTAGGGGTTAAGATCAGCCCATTTTAAAAACGGATTGGATTCGGATCAAAAATTTTTACCGGTTTCTAAATCAAAGTCTGATTCATTTCAACACAAAAATCCAGTTTTTCACCCGATTTTGTTCGCATATTACATGGCTTTGCTTGCATCTCTTAGGTCGTCAGAGGACTAGGGCATCTTTTAGGTTGGAGATTGGCCGTCAAACTGGGGCAGTGTGTGAGCGGTGTGAGCCTGTGAGGATTAGGGCATCTTTCAGGTCGCCAGAGGGTCTAGTTCATGTTGTGTCAAACAGGTCAAGATCGGGTTATGTTAAACAATAGAGGGTCAATGTTGGGTTCAACCAAACCCAACCCGCAACCCGATTTTGACACACCTATATATAATAATAGCTTTCATTAATTCCATTATACAAAGGTTTGATTAAAATAAAAATTTTAATTTAACCTAAAGGTCCTAAAATTTATAATTTGAATTAAAAAATTTTAAAATCCTAAAAATGCAAATAAATAATTAATTTCAAAATTTTGCAAATCACTAGAGGTCTATTTTAGGCCATTCTGAACCTATGGCACGAGTTTGAAGGATCATAAACCTAGAAATCTTAATATGATATAGAAATATTGTAGGCTCCATTTAAATAATTTTAATTAAACCAAAATAAAATTTACAAATGTATCTCTTGCAATAGAAAAATCCTAAAAATACAAAAGTTAATGGTGTAGATTTAGAAAAAAAAAAGCCAAATAAAAATAACCTAATAGTCTAGCTTCTACCTAAGATACCTAAATTTTTTAACATTTAAATAATTTATAAAAATTGAATTTAGAAATTCAATTTAAATTCAATTTTTTTAGAATTAGTAAGCTTTGTCTAAATATTATTTCCAACTATTTCACTAACCTTAGAACCCTAGAAATAATTTACTAAGATTTCATTAAGGATGATTTTTTACTGCTTATTAAAGCAGCTTTATAGTACAAAAATTAAAACTTTATAATAAAAGTCGCTTTAAAAGCAGTAAAAAAGTTATCATAAATAAATGTTTCGTTTAATTTTATTTATTTTAAGAAGCAATAAAAAAATTGTCCCAAACGAAACTGAAGCCTAAACCTAACTAATGAACTTCCAACACTCAAAATTATTCATTAACTACCTAACTAATGAACTAATGATTATTAATAAGAGGTCACATACCCACACAATAGAGAACTAAAAAATTAGCATTAATATTTGATTTAGTTTTTGATATGATAGGATGAATTTTTTTGTGATATTATGTGATTTAATATTATCATTATTTTTTTTATTTTAGACAATATAAATTATTGTAAATGTATAAATAGATGTATTTTTGCCATGGAATCATAATAATTTTTTGTGTGTTTTTTTTTTTCTCATTTTTTTATTAACTTTCATACTACAAATATCTCAATTTGATTATTTATTTATTTTTTAAAAATTACAAAAATGTGGCATTCCCGTCTTCTCTCTGGATTCACAAGCTTCTCGTGCATCCCGGCCCAAGTCATTGAATGGGTCAATTTTTTCATCCCAACCCAACCCAAACCCATGAATCGTCGGGCTGGGCTGTGCTTCAATCATGCTTGAAGGAAGAAATAAAATAGGATTCATATTTAACAGTGAGTTATTTACAGTAATTAACAAATGCATGAGTAAACCTATATGATTGCTGATCCTTAATGTCTTTAGTATTTTTTTATTTTTTTTTTATATTTTATCACAAATAAAATATATTTTACTATTTTAAATATATAGAATTTTTGATTCAATATCATATAAACAAATTTATTTTACAATTTAGAAGAGAGCCTTGAAGTTGTGGCTAGAGATGTTGGCGGACCTAACTAAGGCTTCCTTTGGGACAGCTTTAGATTGCTTCTTTTTTTCTACTTTAAATTTTTTTTACTAAAAAGAGCTTTAAAAACAGCTTTTACAAACATCAAGAAAGTCAGTACAAACGAAGCCTTAGATGTCATAAGCTATGACATTTATTAGGTCGATAATGGGTATAGGGCCAGTAAACATTTTCTTTGGAACATTTTTTTTTTCTATTTATTTTTTCATAGCACAACCACAGTTTCGTTTGACTATTACTTTCTCTTTAATTTTTAAAATTTTTTGTAATGAGAATTTGGATTTTTCAAAAGCTTTTAAAAAAGCACTTTGAATGCAACAGCTTTACAACAATACAACCAACTTTACAAAAAGAGAGATTTACATACATACCACATAATACTACTCTATTTATATATTTAACACCTAAAACTTTAATATTATATACATACAACCATAGTTCATTTTCATATCAAATATGAGTAGTATAAATGAAATATATGAGTAATATGAAGTAAATATGAGTGATAGATTTGATATTAAAATAATATATGCATATGTATGTAATATAAAATTTGGATATTAGATATGTAAATAGAATGTTATAAAGTGGTATGTAGTAAATTTCCCTTACAAGAACCTTCAATGTCTTAAATAAACCCTAAATGTTGTTCGGTTGATACTACTATTTTGTAAAAATATAAAATAATTTATAAATATTTAATATTAAATTACCAAATATATTCAATTATATAACATTCATAATATTAATTATTAAATATCACTATTAATCAAAAAAAGATTTCATAATAAAAAAACTACTTTTCTATATCTAGTGTTACGACATGTGGTATATATTATACTAATTTGTAAATAATATAAATATATAATAATTTAATATTTTATTAAAAAATAACCATATTTTAAAAAAATTCATAGACTATAATTTGTTATCATCATTAGAAAGATCAGCCAAAGAGGTGGACAATTTCCCTTGAATATTTGTATTTTATTAATATGTGTTGAACCTTGATAGCATCTAATGAGAAGTAAAACTTCATGGAACAATCATTGATCACAACTAGCATTTAATATGTACCAAAAACTATTTTTTTTAACTATAATCTAACCACTAAGGCCTAGTGTGGCGAGGGATTATTTCGTGCAGAGTTCAGATCCAAGATGAGATCGAATTTATGAGGTTAAATGACAAATTTATAATAAATACACAGTTATGTAAAAAATTGTGATTTATTTTGTACCTTCTTAAATCTAAATTATTTGGATTCCGCAAGTAATAATTTCTCCCGTTTGAAACATCTTTAAGCCACTATTAAAAGTGTACTAAAATATATTTTTACAAAATAGTTAAAAATTAGTCCCAAACGAAGCTTTAAGTCTTGTTCTTAATAGATCTCAAAAGTCTTTGAGATTTATTTGAAAATTTTAAATAATTTTATTTTTCATACAACTTTTTATATTTGGGGATTCATATTAAATAAAATATTTTTTGTAATTATTATTTAGAGTGTGATAATTATTATTTAAAATAAAAAATAAAATTACATTACACCTATTTACTTAAATATAATTAAATTTATTAAAATTTTGAACATGAAAAGTGAAAATATTATATTTATTAAAAATTAATATAATATATTACAATTTTTTTATCACACTTATTTTAAAATAACTTAAATAATATTAAGGTCTATATAAAATGCCATCCCTTTTATTCTCATTAATTACTTCTATTTTATATATTTATTAAATAAAATACAAACAATTAAACCACATTAACTGTGAAAATTTGCACTTCCTCTATTAAAATTTAAAAATCATTTCTTTTTAAATTTAATACTAAAAAAGAAATTAATACATAAATTATTATCCTATGTGACTTAATTAAAGCCCTTAATTCCTTTTTAAAGATATTATCTAAATAAATGAACCCCTGAAACCTTTGAAAGGATGTATGGCCCTCCAAAGACTTTTTTCTTCAAAATTTGAAGTTAAAATAGTATTATTCTGAATAAAATTTTAAATTATTTCATTTATTAAAAAAAGTATTATATAAATAAATTTATTTATCTATTGCATAATATCTCATAAACTGAAAAAATTTATAGTAAAAAATTCTGATATAAATTATATTTAAATTAATATAATTTATATTGCATTAATCTCACACTAAATTAATTTGATATAATTTATAACAAAATATTTTTACATAATTTTTTAAAGAAAAATTATGCTAGTTTAAAATTTGGTAAGAATATCTTTACTGGAGATTTCTCCCAAACTCTCAAAGATAATAATATCAAACAGATCTGACCGGAAAAAAGCTTTAAAAAGCTGTATCTTTATCTTCAAGCCACCAAAATCTACTGGTTCTCCGTTCTCACAAAAAAAAAATCCATAAAGAGGAAGAAGAAGAAGAAGAATCCTCACCAGAGTTCTAATCCTCAGCATAGCAGGAAAAAAAAAATCCTTCCAGATCTGAGTAAGAACTATATCAATTAAAACAAAAGAAAGTAATTTTACAGAACAGATCATCAAAACTCATCCCCTCCAACAAAAAATACACCATATTTCATTCAAATTTCCAATTTTTCATTCTATTTCCTACTCATTCTGAATCGCTTTCCAGGCACATAGCCTTCAGCCCTCTCCTCCTCTGCATAAATTATGGAAATAAAACTAAAATAATAAGAATTTGTATCATTCCATTTTTTTCTAAGAATTATCGTTAACTAAATCCTGGCGCAGATTGCCCATAAAAAGAAAATTAATTACTATTTAGTGATTTGTAACTGGAAATTAAAAAATCGCCTACCTTTCTCGAACTTCTCTTTTCCCTGACCTCATATCTCTCGTATGATAAATCCGTCAGCCATGCTCCAGGGCTCACCAACTGCACAGCCAAGCGTTTTTTATCTCAGAGAGATGGATTAAAAGATGAAAATAACATTTAAAATATTTTTTTTGGGGATAATTTCTTCGAATATGGTGGGAAAAAAAGGAGATAAGTATTCATACAAGCAAGCTTTTCTGCAGAATCTTCGACCGCTTCTTCGGCCGTTGCGGCAACTTGCAGCCCTTCATCGCCAGGAAATCCTCTTCCTTTTCTTTGTTTGAAAGTGAGATGAAGAATCTAGGCATCACTGTGGCCGCCGCGCCCACTCTATCCTCCCCTCCTACTCCTCCACATCCTCCGATGCCGTTCTCATCGCCGGCGGCGGCCACTGAGCCTCTTGTAGGATAAAACCGATCCTCTTTATCGGGAGAAGCCGAATCTGACCTGGGCTTCGCGTTCTCGCTCCCGGCTGACTCCGACCTCCTGCGAGATCAAATCCCTAGATGGGTTTTCTTCAATCGCAAATAATAAGAGTAAAAAAGAACCGAACCCCCTCATTAAGTGAAAATCTCAGTTACCTTAGGGCTGGAGTTGGAGGAGAAGGAAGATCCTTGTCGGATCTGATGACCCGTCGACTGACCCTCGCCGTCGCCCTTCGCTGGCCCTCCGATCGGCCCGGTAGAGTCCCGCCGGTGGCTGATCTAACCTTGACGCAACGAGGCCGCTTCCGATTCCCCCACTGCAAGAGGAAGTCCGCCTCCGGAGCTCCTCTTAGGGGTCGAAGGTTGCCCCTTGCTTCTTTCTCCATCTAAAACGAAACATAAACACATCATCGGAAATGGAATTTATATCAGACATTAAAAAACAAAAAATCTCGGTCGATTGAAATGGCAAAAGATCGCCGGAAACTGCTTCTATACCTGAAGACCTTACGATATTGCACAGAAGGAAAGGAAGGCGGATCTTTCTTTGAACAAGGAAGATAATGGAAAGAGAGAGAGCGAAGAGACAAAGAAAGCGAGAGAGAGAGAGAGAGAGAGAGAGCGGAAGAGATAGAGAGAAACAGAGCGGGGGAAGAGAGAGAGAGAGAGAGACCAACTGATGAACTTCTTCACTTGTTCCGACTCCATACCGGCTAGCTATAAATGAAAAATGAAGAACTTCAGGCCGTCGGATTTATGATGAACGGTGAGATGATATATATCGCTGGAGTTTGGCTCAGTTCCCCTCGCCCTTTTTTTATCTACGAAGTCCGCATGCAAGGGAAATGTGTGAAAGGCTTAAATAGGCCTAGAAGAGGTCTCTAAATCAAAGTGTATTAATCTAATGATATCATAAATAAAATTTTATAAAGATATTGTTGGCTCTTAATAGGATATTATAATAGGGTTTATTGACTTTAAGTTAGTAGTAATGAAGATTAATTCCAAATTAATCAATTTTTTTGGTAGACAATCTTGTAAGAAAATTTAAATTCATATATTTTAAGAACTGAATATTACATGTTTTGTGCTCGAATATGTGCGGTAATTGGGTAAGAGAGTTAAACATTTTAGTTTTGTACCAAGATCAACACGGATAGATAAATGAATGTTTTAATATGCACCAAAGTTTTTACGTAAAAAATTTTAGAAAGAAGAAAAAGCATTGGATTTGGTACACTGGAAATGATTGTGCTAGTATATATCATTGTTATAAATAATACTCTTCTCGTATTTGGGGAATACACCGATATAATGTAGTAGATACATACTGAGATGAAAGTTAAAAAAGTTTTGAGGTGTTGGATTGTCTTTAATAAATTGATGACAGTCTATTCAATCATTTTTTCATAGATCAATGGTGGTCTCTTCGATCAATCTCCTTTTAAGGAAATGAGATGATAGACGAATAAGTTCAATATAATCCTGGTGTTGGTGTAGAATTCGAATTGATATTAATTGTTATGCCCCATAATCTAATGGTAGAATTAAATTTTGAATCTAGCTTTCTCAATGTAAATCTAAATATTAATTATAAACTAATAGAAAATAATTTAACTTTTAGAAAACACAAACTGAAAGATTTCTTATGTCAACATAATCAGAAAAGATAACATACTATGTTTTAAACTTGAATATGCACATAAATCAACTTTTTAGAAATTATTATTTAAACTTTGAACATTATATATGTTAACCTGCTTTTTAACATGGGTGTCAGAGTATATTTGTTAAAACAGAAAGTCACTTTGTACTTTTATGAAAGTATCAAATGATACTTATACATAATATCAGAGTGTACTTATTAACAAAATAGTCTTTGTATTTAAATTTACTCCATTCAACAAAATATACAACATATGAATCATGATATGTGTGTTTCGATGTCTGTTTATAACTCCATGTTCACTTATGTATCTCAAGTCTCTTAAGGTCAATCATCACTAGGTGCATGAGACCAACATGATTCCCTTATAACTTCACTTTCATTTATAAATCCTTCACTCTCCAACATGTATAAAGTAGATGTGGTCATAAATAATCTCTCACATCCACATAAAGATTATGTTAAATCTTTCCTTTTAACACCTTTTCATAGTATTAGATACTTAGGTGTTTGTTTTTGAAAAAAAAGATTTTGCCTTGTAATGTGCAAAATAAAATTAAATTAATTTTTTTTGGGAAAATTGAAAATTAAGTTTAAATTTTAATTATGGAGTTGAACATATCATTAGGGAAAATATAACGTCTCAAAAGGTAGAGATAAAATCTCCTAACAGATTCATACACGAAATTATGGATTTTCTCTTAAACGTCCTATTCTAATTTAAGGGAGAACCACATATGACCCTTGATGGTCTAAATAAAGTTCGGTCAAATATCTGACTACGCTAATCAAGAGAACTTATTGTTAATTTCATAATCAAATTAATGTTAAAACATGATATATCTCTTTGAAGAAAGAATATATCATCCATTAATAATCATTCGATTATGAAGATAACGATTATTATAAGTTTAATTTTTCAAAAGAAATTTTAATTGAGTTTTAAAAAATTGAAGTAGGTTCTAAATCTCCTATAAGCGCAAGCCCTTATAGTTAATCACATCATAGTAAACAGGAGTCTCCTATGAATACTCTTGATTAAAATAACGAAAAAATTTATTTTAGATATTTTATAGGAATGACATCAAGGAGGTGAATTTGGAGTTTCAACTGGGATTAGATTGAATTTTGAGTACTTATTTTTGGAGTCAATGGAGGAGAGGTGGGTTGCACTTAGAGATTTTGAAATAATTCAGAAGTACTCCAACCTAAGCTAAGTGTTGGACTTTAAATTTCAGATCGAGGAAATATTAAATTTTAGTTGAGTAATTTATTAAAATTTTGTGATTATATTCCCAGAGGTTGGGGTCTTATGATTTAAAAATCTATAATGGGTCATAAATCTATTTTGGGTACCAAACGATGGTAGCTCAAATCTAACTAATGTATTGCAAAATCTAGACTTACCCCAATATGAATTGGAGAGCCAGCTAACCACCTAGTCAATTTAAAATTCATGAGTATAATCATTATGAAAGAGTAGTAGGGACATTGTTATTAAAGTTTTTTTAGAATTAGAACTGACGTATGGAGCATATTCTAATTGGTCCCTTGACTTATATATGATAAAAATGTTTAAGACAAATATAATTAAATTTTAGACTCTTTTAATTAAAATCTAATATAATGAATGTTGATCGATTTAATTAAATGCATAATATGAGTATGTAGCAATTTAAAAAAAAAGGTTAAAAAAATATTTTTTAAAAAGATTACACAACATCCTCTTGACAGATTTGTACCCTCAAATACCATGTGGTATGTTAGAGCTCATAGGTGGGGATGTGCCTAACAAGGAAGAGAGGAAATTAATATGATCATGCAAACTCTAGGAGGTCCTGAGATTACTTCGTAGACCATTAGAATTTCAATGTGAGGTGAAATTTTAATTTGATTTAACCAGAAAATTTTTTTAGCGGGCCCTCATTAGTCTCCGCGTATCGAGGCTAAAAAATAAACAACATACAATTGCAAAAAAAAAAAAGGCAAAATCATATACATAATCAAATCAAATCAAACACATTAATCAATATAATTAATTTCTTAAATTAATGTCAATAGGCAAATGCCCCATTTATTACAACCTGAATTAAAGATATTAAAAGTGGTTGGGCACCACTAACCACACTCTGATTTTAATCCTAAGACATACACAAGTGACTTTTAGTGGGATACTCTCTATTTTCAATTCCTCGGTCTTCTCCTCTTCGAGCTCATTGGATTCATCGTACCTGGATACCCAAATAGTAAAGAAAACTCTTCCCCTCGAGGGAGAGGTTATTCTTTTACCAGTTTGGTACTAAAATGATATAACTTTGGGCTTCAAAATGGAAAAGGACTATCCCCTTAATGGGTATCATTTACTCTTTGGAATTCAACTTTGGATACATGTATCTCAATTCAAAGACACTTTCAAAATTCAATACTTTAAATAAATTACATCAATATAAAAATAAAAATTTAGAATCTCATGCAAGATTATTATAAGCATTTAAATGAAATAAATCACGTCTCAAACAGTTATATAAATATGTAATAAAATAAATCACACTTAATCACACTATTATTTTTTGGGGGCTAAGCAACTGAAGCACTTGTAGCAATTATAATAATTACTAATTTAGCCCCTTTTTTATTGTCCTGCACGAGCGTGAACACATACAGAAAACTCAATGAACAATCAGAACGATCATAACTTAAGTGTAAACTATTGCCCATCACATTAATTCATTGAGTGCAATAAAAGTAAAAATATAATCACCATAATAAAATTTTAATCACAACATACAATGAAAACTTGGAAAACTCGTTACACAACAATGAAAGTAGCCATCGACCTAGCCTAGACTAGAGTTAGTTATCATAACAAACCACCTAAAGTGTATGCAAAAGGCCATCTGATTGGGAGAGATCCTAAGGTGGGTAGTTTGTCAAAATTACCTAGTGCTTGAGTTTGTTAAAGAACAAAAGGAAAATTTTTGTTAAAATTCAAATATTAATATATCAAAGTTTATTTTAAAATACATTTTTTACATTGATTTATTAAATGAATATAATTAATTAATTAATGATAAAAGGATTATTGAATTTAAAGTAGTTTGATTAGTTCCCAATTTTAAGAATTAAATTATTTTAGATTTTTCATCAACAGAATTATGGCGTTATGCCACCAGGCTCGAGGAACCAGTCCTTTTTAGGGCACCTAGTCCTACAGCCCGGAGTAGTCCATCTTAAAAATCTAGTTAATGTGGATGGATTAAGAATTTTTAGTTTAATTAAATAATTAAGAGTTAATTAATTTTATGGTTTCACACTTCATTGATTTCATTTGTGACGTTGTGCTATCAAGATCGAGAAACCAAACATCCTTAAGACACTTAGCCTAATAGCTCAGAGTAGTCCACCCTAAAAACTTAATATTTAGAGTACTTGTTATGAATAAGAATGTTGGTTAATCAAATTAAAATTTTCAATAATTTTAACCAATTACTAATTTTTTAGAATTATTTGAATTATTCAATTATATTATTTTAAGATCACAAAAGTTGACTTTTTAAATTAAAATTAATTTTAAGAGTTTTATATTTTTAAAAAATATTAAACCCTAAGACAAGCAATAAGACAATTAGTTTTTCTAATTTGGAGTTTTCTAAAAAAAAGTTATGACTTTTTTAAGTTTGAGTTTGGTTTTGAATTACGATTAACTATAAAGTTGACTTTTTCACTTTGACTTATTTTTGGGTTTGGATATTTTTAGAAAATAATAGATTTTAATTATAGTTGGATGGATTTGAGCTTAATTGAATTGGATTTTTCTAGAGCTATTGGTGATTTTTTAAAATTAGGGTATTTTTGGATTTTCTAAAATTGTCTAATTAAGTGGATTTTTAGATTTTGATCCAAATCAATTCCAAACCTCTTGTAATCAACTCCAAATGTCAAAAATGACCTAAGGGGATGTTTCAATTCTTTTAGAAAATTTTCGATTTTTTTTTTAATATGTTTAACTAATTAAATGAATTAATTGACAAATTTCCCTTAAAAACTAAATTAAAGTTAAATCAAAGGTAATATGATGGGCTTTTAATATTTCTAAATTTAGGGTTTAATTTTGAGCATTTGATATAATATTTATAATTTTTAGGGTTTATTTGAATTTATTGTGAATTTTAAAAGTTTTTGGTTGATTTGAATGTTTAGTTTGGGTTAATTGGATTTAAGTCCTATTCAATTTCAAAACCAGCAAACTCCTTATCTAAATAGGGTAATATTACTATGGTTAAAGGTTATAGTTTCTAACCCTATTATTCTCTAATCTCTAAAAAACTCTAAAATCCTAAATCCTTATGTATGTTTTTTTTTTTTTGTTCTTATATGTCTACAGGACATATAGGATAAAATTGGAGTTCACTAACCTTTAATACCATCAAAAGCAGCCCCACTGCACATAGCATCAATAAAAGGAAGAGTGACCTAAGACTAAGTGCACAAGAAGGGTGAATCTTCCAAATACTTGGGCAAAAACATAACCTAAACATTTGGGAATTCACTCATAGGAATGTCCCCAAGTCATGTGCTATTAGGATATTATGATAATGAAATAACTATCTTGGCATTTGACAATCAAAACCAAATGCAATCTATAGGAAAAAAAAAAAAAAAACAACCAAGCATGTTAAAGAAGGTAAATATATGCAATTGACTTAGACTTTGCACTTGACATGGCTAACACTCCTCATATACCACTAAGCATTGTTTAAGATAGGGGTGTCAATTCGGGTCAGCAGGTCGGGTTCAGGTCGAACCCGAAATTGACCCAGCTTTGTTCGGGTCAACCCGAATCCGCCCGTTTTTAAAAACGGGTCAGGTTTCCGGATGCGAACCCGACCCGATTCAGGTCCTGGTCAACCCGACCCGACACGAATGATCCGAAGTTGACCTAAAATTGCTAATTTTCGGGTAAAAAATCAGGTCAATATTCGATTTTTGGGTCAAAATCGGGTCAAAAACGGGTCAATCTTGGGTTTTCGGGTTAAATATGATTTTTCGTATCACTGGTCGGGTCAATTTCGGGTTGCTTGGTCAACCCAAACCCGACCCGATTTTTAAAATGGGTTGATTTGTTCAACCCGAACCCGACCCATTTCGGGTTTGGGTTGACCCGAACCCGAATTTTTTCGGGTCGGCTTCGGGTCATGTCAAAAATTGACACCCCTAGTTTAAGACTTAGGGTCTGAGACATCAAACTCAAAACAATCTAAAGAAAATTCTTTAAATACAAAGTCAAATATTGTTAACCTATGGCTTAAACTAATGTAAAATTAGTTAATTTTAAAATAGTGACTAAATTTTTTTCACAGAAATATTGTATATAGAATATAACATGAACATTGATACAACCAAATTTTAACTCAATTGAATGAATATTAAGGTAGTTATTAAAGAAATAAGAAAAAATAAATTATTTAAATTTATCTTTTTATAGTTAGTAAAATAAACTAATTTTATTTTAAAATGATAAAGTATTGAACAAAATGAGTGGTTGCATGCAAAATTTGGTTGAGAAATGCAATTATTGTGATTTTTTAAAGTTTCATGCATTAAAAAGTATTTTTTAAAAAAGATTTAAAATAGTTTATTAAATCAATTAACGGCGACAGTGGGGAGGCCACGCGGCACAATTTGGTTCATTTGAATGAAATCGCGGCATCAGGATGTCCACGTGGTTACGTGAGAGCCGTTGGATTGAAATCGCATCAGCGGCGGGTCATAATGACCAATGATTGCTCTGCATTAATCATTGGTTATTAATACGGGATGCGGCGTTGCGAGCAAGGGTGCCACTTATCTGAGCCAGCAGAGGATCACGACCGTTCATCCACGTACGATTTGAATAAACGATCGTGATCTAGCCGTATGAATGGCTAATCCATGGAATATATAGAAGTGGATTGGATTGAACCAACAAGAGGATGTAGAGACCATCGCGTTAGCTACCTAATAGAAGCGTGGAGTTATTCTTTGGGCCATGTATTTTAAAGCCATATGGATTGAATATATCAAATATGTTGTTATTTTTAGTTAGAGTGAAAACTAAAAGAAGATTATGAGAGATGTTGGGAATATAGAGAATGTTTCAATGGATTATCTTATGATCAAGGGTTGGAAGTAGACCTTGGACTGAGTGAGCTATGGGAATGGACCTACCGTCTCTGATAGTAACGTTGTCTAAGCCAGAATATGATATTGGCTAAAGTAGTTGTTCCACATTGTTAGTTAGATGGAGGAGGCTCTATCAAGTATCCATTATGAGGTGGGCTCCTCATTTGTTGTCAGTAAGGCAATTGTATATGCAAAAGGTGTTGGATAGTTGATATTTAGTCTATGTCAGCAGATATTTGCAGTATGCCCTTGCTTGCCGTAGATTTGGAAATAAAGTGCCTGGTGCGAGAGGTGAAGTATGAGAGCTTTGAGGTCGGACTGATTGTTGAGCTAAGTGACGATCAAGACTGGATGTGGAAGTAAAGCGACCACGACCTCTACTACGACCTCTGGTGGAGTAGAAAGCAACATTTGTAGTAGAGTTGAAAAACTCCGTTGCTGATTTAGTAAAAATGTTGATCTTCTCACTAATAAGTAGTGAGTAGAGATCTTCCAAGTAGGTTGGTGTAAGTTTGGTTATAATGGATGTTTTGAATGCTTGATACTACGATGGGAGTCCATTGAGGATATAGAGGAGAATATCCTCGATGTTGATGTTTCCACTAGCTACAACGAGGTTGTCAACCAAGGTTTTAACCTTAGTTAGGTACTGGATCATAGATCGATCTCCCATGGAAATGTCGTGAAGCTCATTTTTGAGCTGTAACACTCTCGAGCGGTTGGTGGTGTGTACTCGACCATCAAGAGTTTTTCATATTTCTGCACAGGTTGTAATATCCAGAACATATGAGAGAATGCTGGGAGAAAGGATGGAGCATATTGCTGATGCGAGGTTTTGATCAATCCAATTCCACCCACTGTATGTCATATGCTTGGGAAGAAGATGATCACTCCATAAGGTAGGATCAGGGCTGTGAGCAAAAAAGCTATGATACCAAGAAATCAGTTTATGGATGTAAGACAGAAAAGGACAATTATATCTGAAAGAGATAAGTTTCATACTTCATGTCTTATGGTGCAAAGGTTTTATAATTACGATCATTGTAGCTTTATAGGAGTGATTATGTGGTGTGTGCTTTACACGTGGACGTATGTGATAATAATGGTTTGTTATAATCCAATGGCTCATATACAGTGATCCTGACAACGACAAATTTATTGTTAAATATTTAATTATATAAAGTTAGTCATCCATCATATCATAAGCAAATTTCTACCAAGAATATTTCCTTATGTTTATTTTCTAAAAATCACCTTTATGGCTGAACCATTTCAGATTGCAATGAGGGGCCTAATTATATTGCTAATGGCCCATCTTTAATCACGAGGAAGCTCTATTTTCACGCAGCCGTGTGATTTCAATCCAACGCCTCAGGACCACCACAACAATCAAAGAGAATATGGCTATATATATATGTATCCTAGGGTTTCTTAAACCTACCTTCATTCTATTTCTTCCATCTTCTCTTTCGAATACATCTCGGATCATCTGTTCATTGCTAAGTCATCGATTTCTACTGTTCTTAGTTACTCTTTCCTCAAAATCGGTTCCGATCAGCTTTGAAAAGAAAGTTGAGATGAGATCAGGCTATGACCTGTAGCATTTTTAGTTGAAGAAGAGGTTCGATCTACTGTCTGCAATTTTTTTTTTTTTTTTTTGGGAGGGTTAGATTTTGTGATATTTCTGTTGCATTCGCTTTTGATCTCATTAATCGCCCCTGTTGAGTAGCGAGATGGTGATCTCGTCGAAGCGTAGGCATCGACGAAGCCTACAGCATCTGGCTAATTCATGGGGCATATAGTAATAACAATGAGGTATTTTGAGTGGATTCCATTCTATTTGTCCTTCTATGAATTTCACTTATATGGACTCCCTCAAGCAACCTCGTACACTTATTATTTATCTCATGTATTCCTTCTCATAGTCCTCTGTCTATAAGGTTGTTACCACTTCACTTGTCCATAAGGATAGAGGTTTTTATTTACGGTTGATTTATGGAAGTAGCATGCGGTAAAGTAAAGTTTAATTAATGGCGTGCACGTAGTTTAATTTGCACTTAATGGTGTATGTCCATGTACAAAATGCCTTCAGGATAGCGTTAACTGTGAGCATATTGTGGATTTCAAAAGAAATTTTCTTTGCAGTGTCGATTTGGTCTCTTGATGTAAGAGACTTTATTAAAGTGTGTTTGGAAAAGATTTCAATTTTTTTCTCCTAAAAGCACTAAATAGTACCTTAGTTTAGTTGTGAATAAGTAGATAGATTGATAAGGATTAAGGGTTACGATTCTAGTTGAGCTTTCAACTCGAGCTTGACTCGCCTACTCAGTTCCTAGTTTGTACTCGAGCTTGAGCTCAAGTTGTGATCACATGACAAGCTTGTATATTACCAAGTTGTAGTTGGAGTTTCCTGTAGAAGACATCGATGGATCTAGCGATTGGAATTCACTGTAACAGGCATCAATGGGTTCAATATCAAAGAGGAAGTTGCGATTGGAGTTTATTGTAGAAGGCTTTGATGGATCTAGAGGCCTGGAAGTAGCAATAGTTTTCTATAGAAGCATTGATGGGCCTAGCACATCTAAGTCATGGTGGGAGTTTATCATAGGAGGACTCACAGGGTTCAATAGCTTTTGGAGAAGGAAATGAGTTTGTGAATTGGCGACAAACCAATCAATTAAATGTGGATATAAAAGTTAGATTTAGAGTTTCTAATTGTGTCCAGTCATGAGTCAACGAGTTGAGATGACTCAAGATTGATCTTGAGCTCTCATAATACACGCGCTCAAGTTTGAGCTCAAGCTTAAGCTTGCAGCTCAATAAGCTCAACTTGTGAGCTCGTTAGTGAGTTGAGCTTGAGTTATTTCATATGTTAAGCACTTAGATTGGACGCTATTCAATGGATCGTAATTGATTGACGGTGTTTGGAAGATCGTTGTCGAGCGAAGGAGGTCAAAGGACCAAGTTCAGGAGATATTATTTGGGCAACAATGGTCAAGTGGTTGCTTGAAGACGGCTGTCGGGTGGTCGCTTGATGTTGGTGGTCGGTCATTGGCCCTGCGACAATTATTGGACGATGGTCTGGTGGTGATGCTTGGGTGTAGTAGGGTCCTATTATTGATTTTTGAGATTGACATGTCTTGAAAATATGACAAAAATTCGTGGCACTTTATCAGAAGTTATGTATCAACTCCCTCAATGATAAATTATTTCTTTATCATTTAAGTGTCTTAAAGATTGTCAGAATCAAGCAATAATGGGCTCATTGGATTTGTTTTGTAAAGACGCTCAATTCGATCATAAGAATACCAAATTTGGAGATCATTTAATCATCCGATCAATGCTCTAAAGTTTTCAATTACGTTCCAAGTACTCGATTGGGCTACTTGTTTATTGTTGGATTAGTTTTGCTGATACAATCTATTTGATTATAAGTTTGCTGAAATTGAAGTTTGGATGGCCCTAAATTTAATTTCAGAAGTTTAAATTCAATTTGCATCGGGATTTGAGTCTTATCAAGGTGATTTTCAATGATGTGTCGATCTTCTACACTATGTTTTAATATAGAGGCATTGAAATTGCATTTCCTTTATGGATAAGCATTGCTTTTATAATAATTTTGATATTTGGAGAAAATATCCTTTGGCCAGTTTATTTTATTTTAGGCAATATATATCAATTTTGTTTTCCATCAAAGAACACAGTACAACATAAACAGATTTATAGCAATAAAATGGCTTTATTAGAATCAGCTTTCGAATGTTCTCTTTTGCCATAAGTTCATTCTCGCAATGAATTTGCTGGCCATATTTATTTATCCTGTAAAGAATCGCCATGCCATTCAATTTGCACTAAATTGGTTATGCTGTTATTTTTGTGTTAATTTTGCGCTTCAGGGCATGTGATATTCTTGAAGTATGAAACCATTGTGATTTATGGCTAACTTGTTTTGTTCCATTCATCTAATGTCTTCAACACAGTTCCGCTGGGTTATTCTAATGGCCAATACCTTAAGTTCTGTGTTTGGATATTGTCTTGATAAGTTTTTCCCCAACAGCAATTTGACTAACATTTATGGTTAGTTTTTAAATGATTTTTCTTGCATTATTTTTTTAATCAAATCTGGAATATCAGAACCTTTAATTTTCTGCATGGGTATGCTTAATAAGAGTACCAAACTATGCATTATTCTTTTATTGATTATGGAGGTGGACTTTTACGGGATATAATTTCTATAATAATTTATGAAAGGTTTGGCAAAATGCCTTATTTTTGTTCGGTGAGTTTGAGCTCTGCAAAGCTCAGCAAAATGAGAGGAGCTTTTTACTAACAAGACTGAATAATACAGCATGCAACAATTTGTCAAAAGAGATTTTCATTGCTGTTTCTTTTCTTCCATTTTGCTTCGATTTTTTATCAACAGGCCTATGAGGATATCAAATAACACCAATACCATCTTTCGGGACTGATTTGATCAATGATGTTATTCTGCAATTCTGAGGCCATCGTATATGCTAATGTGAGGATTTGTCAAGGTAAAAATTTACCAATTTGCACATTGAGTTTTTGTCTTATGAACACCTCTATCGTATTACCTGTTCAGATGGCAAATTGGTGTGGTTTGTTCATTTTTGTAGAGTGAATGCACTTTGTTTTATACATAGCAAGATGGCATTACTAAAGGCTACTTGAAGGGAATTTGTTTCGTGAGACACTTCAGTTTCAACATCTATTTTCTTTTCATATTTACATTCTAGTTTCAACATCTAAATGCACAGTTGACTGCTCCTCTCGCTACACTTGCATCTTCATGGGTTTGCTCAACAAGAGTACCAAACTAAGCATTATTCTTTTATTGATTATGGAGATGGACTTTTACGGGATGTAATTTCTATAAGAATTTATGAAAGTTTTTGCAAGATGCCATATTTTTGTTAGGTGAGTTTGAGCTAGGGGTGTAACCGAGTCTAGAAAACTTGCGAGCCGGCTCAAACTCGACTCAGTAACAGGCTCGACGAGTCGAGCTTATCGAGCTCGAACTCAATTTTGAGATTGACGGCTTATCGAGCTCGAACAAAGCTCTGCTCGACTTGTCAGCTCGTCGAGCAGCTTGCGTAGGTGACTGGGTGGGAAAACGAAATCTCAACCGAGCAGGCTGAAGGACGATTTAAAGGTCAGGCGGGAAAATCAAAACGACGGAGCATGTGGATCTCGGCGGCGAAGCTCGGGACGACGAATCTCAACTGCGAACGCAATGATGAGCTCATAACGATGGATCTCGACGGCGGAGCTTGGGGCGACAACAGACCTCAAGATGATAGAGGGCTCGATGAAGAGCTCGGGACGACGGATCTCGACGATGGAGCTCGGGATGACGATGGAGCACAGGATGACAGTGGATGCGATGAGGAGCCTTCTCGGGACGGAACTCGAGACTGAGCTCGACAAACCGCTCGACAGGAGACGAGTCGAGCTCGACTCGAGTTTGAGCTCAAGCTCAAGCTCTATATTTGGCAGTCAAACTCGACTCGAACACCCCTGGCTCGAGCTCGACTATACTTATTTGCACCCCTAGTTTGAGCACTGTATAGCTCAACAAAATGAGAGGAGCTTTGTGGAGCTTTTTACTAACAAGACTGAATAATACAGCATGCAACAATTTGCAAAAGAGATTTTCATTGCTGTATCTTTTCTTCCATTTATCTTCGATTTTTTATCAACAGGCCTATGAGGATATCAAATAACACCAATACCATCTTTCGGGACTGATTTGATCAAATGATGTTATTCTGCAATTCTGAGGCCATTGTTATATGCTGATATTCTGGAATAATTTGTAATTGTGTGTATTATATGATAATGTGAGGATTTGTCAAGGTAAAAATTTACCAATATGCACATTGAGTGTTTGTCTTATGAACACCTCTATCGTATTACCTGTTCAGATGGCAAATTGGTGTGGTTTGTTCATTTTTTAGAGTGAATGCACTCTGTTTTCTTCAGTTTCCGCAAAAGAAATTTTGAATGTTTTATTTTTTTCCATGTAGCCAAGAATGAGACATAACAGGCCTATGAGGACATCAAATAACACCAATACCATCTTTCGGGACTGATTGCTAATGATGTTATTCTGCAATTCTGAGGCCATTTTATAAGCAAGATGCTTCTTCATTTATTTGTTATTATTTGTATTATGCTGACAAAAAATGTTTTTGATTAATGATGCTTCTTCATTTTATTAGCAGATGCTTCTAACATGAAAATTTTATCCCAACAAGTCTTAAATTTTTATGTTTTTTCTTTCCATTTTTGTTGCTATTCTTTATCGAATTTCCTATTCAGATGGGTAAAAACAGTAGCTATTAACTCTTGTGAGGCCACTTTTACCAAAATTGTGCCTGTTTCTTTCTCAGATGTTACGAGTAAAGAAGTCTTTTGTTCATCACTTCAGGCTGTTTTTGTTCATTTTATACTCGAAGTATTCAACCTCAGTTCATTTCATTTCCTTGAAAAAACTGCAATCCATAGTCTTTTAAACAACATAGAGCAGTTTCATTTCACTGTATTGTTAGCCTTTGATGAAAGCAGTTGACAAAAATACCATCTTTCGGGACTGATCTCAACAATGCTGTTATTCTGCAATTCTGAGGCCAAATGCACTCTACTTATGTTTAAATGATTTACAATTGCAAAAACTATTTTTAAAGAGTTTTTAAGATTTCAGTTCTGTCACTTAATGTAATATATTGAAGTCTGTAACAAAGAAAATGTTTAAATGTTGGCTTTTATAGTTCACTTGCCATAATTTTGATTTGTCTTGGACTTGTGAAGCAGAAAGCAGATATATCTCTTCGTGGCTTGGTACAAATCACGACATGGTGATCCTGAAGTATTTGGTAAGATTCGGTTAATCCTATATTGTACTTGATTAACCTTTTCTTCCTTTTTTTTTTCTCTGGAAACATAAAATCATGGCCATAATAAGTTCTTTTAATTAATATTGTACATGAAAAGTACAATTTTCACATGCTCGCATCAAAGAATTCATGCATTGGTACATGAAAGTTCTTTTTAAGTATCGATTGCACCTCATTGATTCATGAAAGGGATTGATTAAGTACTTTGAAAGAGGGGTTTAAGCTTCAAAAGTATTTCATGCATTATATTTTTTGGAAATAAATATTTGAATGCATTATGTTTCAGGACTAATTAGGGGTTGACCTAAGCTGCACCATTATTGTTGGGGTGAGGCTCGGCCTCCGAATCATACGTGGGATGAGTTTCTACTTCATACAGCTTGGGCTGAAGACCGGGGAAAGTTTAGGATGGTAGGCCATTTGACTGAAAGGAGAGGAGAAATGGGGAGACCCCGTTGTTGCCGGTCGGGATAGGAAACGGGACGGGGATAAGCTTGTGAAGAAGCAAGCTTCTTCCGCACCCCCAAAAACCGACCCTTAGCGCTTTGTGTTCTTTTTATAAGTTAATATTACACTAATTAGGGTTTGTTAAACGAGTCATTTTAAATCTAAATATGACCTATTTATTAAACGGGTCAACCTAAATCCGGAATTAATAAGCTGTTCAACTTAGATTCTAGAATTTTAGGATTGAGTTGGCGGATTGGGTCAATTTTTGACACCCCTATATGATTGATTAAAATTGCTTAGATATAACAATGTTAATCCCCTATGAGTATCAAGGCTAGTTGAAGTTTCTTGATTTCATTCTATTCAAACTTTTGCATTTGAAAGTTGATTAGGATTTATTGAGAGTTACATTAGCTTAACCTACAGGTTTTAACCAAACTTTAATCTAGTAGTTTGGTGACTTAGGAGATAGGGCTTATACAGACTTTGGCTTTCATAATACAACAATGTTTTAATAATAAAATGGTGGATGTTAATATGTATTTTACATGTTGAAACATTTTTTGTCTATCTTAAATTAAAAACAGGCTTATATGTTAAACAATATCATATATGGCTAATTATTATTTAGTCTACTGGTCTACACTCTACAGGTAATTAAATCTTGAAGTGCACGCTAAGGATGATGTTTCGGAGTAAATATTGGCTTATGACTTGTCTGCATCTGTGTTTAATCATGCATAGTTTATTGAAAAATGATTAAAATGAATGTTTTTTACTTAATATTATTATGCTAATTAAGACACTTTGAGTTTTTTTAGTGAATGGGAATATGCTGTTGGTTATCATATAATAGTTTCTCGCTCTCTTATCTTATTTGGGAGTTATTCTTTGAATAGTAAATTAGTTTGATCAAATACTAATCTTTATACAGATTTGAATTAGAAGCTTCTAGAATTAATTTCATGATGGCATAGATATCAATTTCAAATTTTTATTTAGGAGAAATTATTACATGCGGAGTTCAGATACGACTGTAATCTAATGTGTACGAATAACGTGGCTTATATACGAGTTGTGTATTATATATACTGTGTACAAAATATATGGCTTGTACTGATTGGTATCTCGATTGCAGCTACATCCGGACTCCGCACGTAAAAATTTCTTCTTATTTAGGATGACAATGCGACCTTTGGGGAACTTATTCATAGCCTCACAAGAATTTACTTTTGTTTCATGAAAGTGTAAAGCAAATAGATCATTTTCTTTTGTGCACTTTTTATTTTCTTTTTTAAGATAGCTCACCTTAGTGTATTGGTTGAGAGTTTAGGCTATCAAATATGAGGTATTGGATTCGAGTTTTGTGCATGCGATGTGTGTGAGAATCTGACTTAATTGTCCTAAATGTTCAACTTCCTCCCTATTGGGATTTATAATTAGAAATGGCTCATTGGCATTCAAAATCCAATCCACAAATTGATCTAATTTTAATTAATTTTAATCTTATTTCATAATTAATTGACAAATTTTCTATCTAATGTCATAATTAATCTATTTATATGTTTAATTTAGCATTCATATGTATATATGATTGAGTTGCATTACAAATTAAAAATTAAATAATTCCAAACTTTAGTTTTCTTCAATTTAATTCATTTTTATGAAATTTCTTTGCTATGTTTTCAAAATTTTTAATATTTTGTTTTGTTGAAAATTTTAAATTGACTGAAAAAATTAGGTTGTTACTAAAACTGCATGCAAATAAATACGCTCCATTTATATACTGTTCATCTTTGATTTTTTTTTTTTTAAAAATATTTTAAAGAGCAACTTGCTAAAAATTTAATAAAATATGTATTTAATGATGACTTAATATTTTATATGATGAATTATTTTATGTTTTGGTATTAATTTTCTTATAGTTTATTCTCTTTTAAAATTATGTATATTAATAGATATTTATGTATGATGAAAATGTAAAATAAATAGATTTAAATACTTTTTTATTAATATTTAAACTTAAGAACTTAAGTAATATGTAATGAATTATTCAATTTTTTCTTAAAATTTTTAAAACCTAATTATGTTTAATAGTTAAGGTATATATTTAAATTTTTGTAGTAAGTATATTCTGTTATTTTTCTTAATCTACTTGCAATTCATATATTATTATTGTATTTTTATTGGAGTTTATTAAACTCATTATGTGATTATATGGAGTCTTTTTTTTTGGCTTGCCTTAGTTTATTTTTTGTACTGATTTTGATTGTACAAAGATTGGATGATTGTCTTTGTTGTTGATTCTGTGATGACTATTTGAAGCTTGGATACATGAATGCTGATGGCTTAGGGATTCATACTCGGAAGCTTCATTGGAGATTGGTTTTTTCAATCTACAAATCTTATTATAATTGTTCTCATTTGGTGATAATATTTTTTCTTGTTGCTTGGGCTTAGAGCTGCAAGCGAACCAATCGTTCGACGAGGTACTCGATGCTCGGTTCGAGTAAAGCTCGTTTGTGATCGTTTAACTAACCAAACAAACAAACTTGAACAACATTTTAAATACCCGATCCTTAAATAAACAAGCTTCGACACTAATGTGTTTGATTCATTTATGTTCACGAACAACATCATTTGTAGTTCGTGAACAAGCTTGACATTAAGCTCGATAAAAGCTCGAATGGAGATAGATGCAACAGGTAATCTTCATTTAATAATATATTCTTATACATAAATCATATTTTTATTTTAAATTGACAACTGCTTTTATTATAAATTTAATTTTGTGAACAAAAAACATTTCACATTTGTCCATGTTTGCTGCATTGTTTGTTTAAGAAGTAAACAAATTTAATGTTTGCTTGTTCAATATATTATTTGTTAAATATGTTCATGAGCATAGCTCATTAAGGCTTGTCTGTTTAAAGCTCGGTAAGCATTAAACGAATCGAACATGAACCGAACACGAACTAAACATGACAAACAATAAAACTCGAATGAAACACGAACCGAACTTGAACAAGCTAATGATAAACGAACTCAACATGAACACTCACATACTCAACTCGGCTCGGTTCGTTTGCAGCCCTACTTAGTTGGGCTGGTCTTAAGCAGACTGTATGTCTATTTGAAGCTTTTTTGTTTAGGCTTTTTTATGATTTGTAAGATTTTTTTTTCTTGCATTTATTGTAATCTTCTAATTGTAATTTTTTATTATATTAATGAAAATTAGGCATGATTACCCTAACTTTTTTTTTTAAAAAAAATAAAATCTATGGCTGTATTTGAAACTTTTGGACATATTATTATAATATTATAAGCAGAGAAGAATATAAAAAAAAATTTGGATAGAATATAAAGAAAATTAGAGATATTATAATATTTTCAAGTAATTTCATACATTTATCTTTCTTATCTTTAAGAAATAACTTTTTTTTTTGAAGATCTCAAATCCTGCCCTCTCTCCTATCTCATGAATTAATTAGGTTTCTAAATTGAATTAACATAAATTTTCCAGTTTTTTTTTTGTGATGCTTAATGACTTTTTATTTTATAATTCAATTTATATAATTGAAAATTGTTGATATTAGTTTTTATATTTGGATTAATTTATAAATTTTGACAAAAATATCCATGGTATATGTAGACCTTTTGATAATGATCAATTAAATAAACTTTATTCATATTAAATCCGTTATAAGTAATATTTACAAATTTATCATTTATTTTGTATTTAGAATTTTAATTTAATGTAAAATGGTATGCATTGAAATAGGGCTGCAAGCGAACCAAACGTTCGACGAGTTACTCGTTGTTCGGTTCGATTAAAGCTCGTTTGCGATCGTTTAATTATTTAAACAAATAAACTTGAACAATATTTTAAATACTCGATTCTTAAATAAACAAACTTGA